AGTGGGGGGACTAAAGAAAATGTGGCAGTATTCGCGAACTAGAGCTTACCTAGCCATGTTCGAGTCTACTTTCGTGCGTCACCCTACCCCACTTCACTCCATTTCAGACATGTTCCCCACCCTGTACACCCATAAGTTAATACATCAGACAGGTGTATGCAAAGGCATTTTCTTGTAATCATTTTAAAAGCTACCTTAGTGCGGTTGAATCGCTTTGTGTCGGTCGGCTGGAGCTTTTGAGATCATACGATATGATTGTCATTTGTGCATTAAAACGATGCAGATATAGGGTTTATGCCAACCACAAATTAGGCAAATTCACTATTTGCTCCATGTTAAAGTCTGGGCGTTAGACTGAGAGCTGAAGGCTCGTTTAAAATGATCTTTTCGAGTACTTAATAAAAAAAAAGTGTTATGGCTAAACATTACAAGGATTAAATAGAATTTACCGTTAAAACGCATCTCCTTTACTTAGTCTGCGCTTCCCGTACTTACCTCCCCTTCGATTCCTTACAAAGATAACATCTGCAGTCGCTTGTTTTTAGGCATGTTGTTCCGGTATACATTTCCGCGGTGTATATCATACGGCAAGAGATTGACGATCATTGAGCCTATAGACCGCATTTTAATGCTTGTGATATAATTACAAACCAAATGCAAGGGATTTTTAAGCTTTTCTCGTGTTCCCCGTCATCCTACGCTGATTCTTACGCCAGTAATAGATGTAAAGTACAGTTAGCAACTCAGTCGATGTAAAGCACGGTCCATTTTATTTCTAAAATGACTGTCAGTTTCAGTGCACTGAGTATTTACCGGTGCAGTTAATGATAGGCCTTCAACCAATCAGAGCGCGCGTACTTTCTCAGATATTTTGTAAAACTTGAATAAATCAAGCTTGTTTGCTCAAAAGAACGCGTGGGTTCTTTGTTTAAACTTACAAATTAACTTAGCGGTGTGTGTCGAAAACAAACAATGAATGTTTTGGTTTGAGTTTCACAGTTGGCAAACTCCGTCTGGATCAGGTTTAACAGTTTTTGTGAATTTCTTGTGGCCCTGCAAGGAGAAAAAATACACCTGGATTCTGTCTTTTCTTCGGTCGTATACTCCGTAGTGACATCTATGCTAACGAATCTGACAATATTAAATGAAAAGGTAACAATTAAAATTTAATATTAAATCGTGTGCTTCGCTCGGAGTAGTTTTCCCTAAATTTAAATGTTCGACTATGAGATATTTGCATTACAATGAGGCTTTAAAAATTCTTTCTCCCTCTTGGAACGGCGCTTTCTCTACTTTCAACTCCTAGGGCTGTCGAGAAGAGTGAATTGCGATAGGATTTTTTTTTTCTTAGCCACAATTCGTAAAATATTTAGTGTACGTCTGAGGTGAGGTGAAGACATTAGTCATTCCAGGTCTGTGAAAACACAGACGAAAAACAACGGTATTTTGGATGCAAATGCGAATGGAAATTTATCAATTCACAGAGACGCTGTCTTTTTATTTGACTCGCAGGTGCTGAGAGATGGGGAAACAAAATAGTAAGCTCAGGCCGGAGCAGATTACCGACCTTGTTCAACAGACAGAATTTAACGAACAAGAACTACAAGAATGGTACAAAGGTTTCCTTAAAGACTGCCCCAGTGGTCACCTTACTGTGGAAGAGTTCAAGAAAATCTATGGCAATTTTTTCCCGTACGGCGACGCGTCCAAGTTTGCGGAGCACGTTTTTCGTACGTTTGATAAGAACGAGGATGGTACGATCGACTTCCGTGAGTTCATCTGCGCTTTGTCGGTGACTTCGCGCGGAAAACTCGAGCAGAAGCTTAAATGGGCGTTCAGCATGTACGACTTGGATGGCAATGGTTACATTTCAAAGGAAGAAATGTTAGAAATCGTCAGGGCCATCTATAAGATGGTAGGATCTGTGATGAAAATGCCCGAAGACGAGAGCACGCCAGAAAAACGAGTAGAGAAGATTTTCCAGCAAATGGATAAAAATCTGGATGGAAGGCTCTCACAAGCTGAGTTTATCGAAGGAGCCAAAAGCGACCCCTCAATCGTGCGCCTACTGCAATGCGACCCTGCTGGGGGCTCCGGCTAGGCTTGGAACAAAATTTTATTGTGAATAGTTGTCAATGTATTATCTTGGCCGAAAGCTGTTTAATAGTATGCCTTTTATCCTTTAGACAAGACAAGCACCCCCCGGTTTTGTGCTCATACTTACTGCCTTGAAATTGGAGCAGTGGCTTTTGTACACTGTTAGTGTTGAGTAAATAAATAACTTAGACGTTCTCAATGGATTATTTGCTTGCTTGTTGTATCGCCAGCTGGTTGGAAATGCTTCGTTTTTTGCATAAGTTTAAAATGACTTTGTGTGCCATCTTTCACTTATTTATCTGTGAGTAATCCTTCGTCTCCTCAATGTTAGATTAATTAAACAAACCTTGTCGCAATCATTGGTAAGTATTCGGGTTGTGTGTTTCGCAGGGTCCAATAATTTTCTTGTATTAAGATCGTTTTCGGCCAGCAAGTTGTCAATAAATTACTTGTATGAAGCGTGACCGAGCAGACAAAAACGAAAGAAAATCAGTGAAAAACCAGTATGACTCCGCTCTTTGAAAAAATCCCTTTTACTTCCTTTTAGCAACATGAAATTTTACCTATCAAGAGTGAGAGATTCAGTTGTTTAGAAAATGGAGTTGCACCCCCCCCCCCCCATTTGATAACAAAGCAACTCCCTCCTGTCTTGCTTCATAAACTTTGTTTGACCACGGGTCTGTCACCATGTAAAATCGTTTTTCCCTCAATTCACTCCCAAACGTTTTCTCACCCTAAATGAACGTTCAATAATTATACCTTGAACGAGAACACCGCGTCCCTTTTTCACCCTAACACAAGCTGAAGTTAGAAGAGAAAGTCGAAAGAAGCATTTTGCTTTATTCCGATCACTATGATAGACGGTAGAATGGACGAAGGGCTTAAGATTGAAGCAGCAACTTCCCCTGTAAGAGTTGAAGGAAAGACATGTATGGGGAATTATTATGTCCAAATACATATAATGTCCTATACTTTCCTAACATTACATACAATATTCTACACACACATACAGGGCGAAATACGGCTCCACAGGGCTATACCCAGCTATAAAGTCCTATACACAGCTAGAGGGGGCTATACACGTCTATACACAGCTATACACGACTATACACAACTATGTACGGCTACACACAGCTATACACAGCTATACAGGGCTATACACCGCTATACAGAGTTATACGCAGCCGTATACAGGGCTATGCACAGCTATACGCAGCTGTACAGGGCTGTGCACAGCTATACACAGCTATACAGCTGTACACAGCTCTACAGAGCTATATACGGCTATACAGTGCTATACACAGCTATACAGGACTATACACGGCTATATACAGCCGTACAGGGCTATACACAGCTGTACACAGCTGTACACAGCTCTACAGAGCTATACATACATACATACATACATAAACTTTATTTATCCTCGGATTTCAGTGTAGCTTACAAGCTAGCATCTCCGATCCTAATTACTAATTTTAAAAGTTACAGCAAGAACAAGGCTAAAAAGATAAAAAAAATAATTCATAATATAATAATATAATAATCACGAATTTAATAATATAATGTAATATTAACAGAAACCGTGCACTAACAGTTTGCGCTTAAATTCACTATAGTCTACAGTCTTTCTAAAGTGGTCAGGGAGGGAGTTCCAGTTCTTAACAGATGAATAGCTAAAAGAATTTAGACCATATGTGGTTGTAAACGGCTTAGGAAGTGATAAAATATTGGTGCCCCTTAGGGAGTAAGCAGTAGATCTTAGCTTGATCAGTTGTTTCAAATAGCACAGATATTTACCAAGATGGAGACAGTTGAATATACAAATCATCATATTTTGTATCCTCCTGTTGGCTAAACCACACACACCTGCCTTGTCTAAAAGATCATCATAGTTCGAGTCCCAGTCCTTTAAAACAAATCTTAAAAAACGTCTATTTAAGGTGTCAAGTTTAACAGAGTCCTCTGAATCACAAAAGTGCCATATCATTGAACAGTAGTGAAAATGGGGTAACATAAACGTTTTATATAGCCGAAGCATAATTTCGGTAGAAATAAGTTTGCCAAATCTTTTGAAGACACTGAACTGATTATTTATTTTTTTACATACAGAGGATATGTGTTCCTTGAAATTAAGTTCATTATCGAGAATTATTCCAAAACGTTCTGGGCATCTTGTGGTTGAGAAGGAGAAAGGGTAATCGGTTTTGCCAAGAACCATCCCTTGGTGTTTAGCGGGGTTGGCTTTCATCCCATTATCTTCGAACCATTTGTTTGCTATTTGTACATCATGATTGATCCGTTGTTCCAAGGCTACTGGGTGTACGTCAGATGTGTGCAGTTGGCAGTCATCAGCATAAGTGTTCAGTTTTACAGACTTAATGTGAAAGATGAGGTCATTGAGGAACATGTTGAAAAACATGGGTCCCAGGATGCTGCCTTGAGGCACGCCACGCTTCACGCTCATCCAATCCGAATAAGTATCACCAATTTTCACTCGCTGCATTCTATCCGTCAAGTAGTCACCGATAAGGGCACAACTGGATTCACGCAAACCATACGCTTTCAGTTTCGCTAGTAGCAAAGCATGAGGTATACGGTGTCGAAAGCTTTTGACAAATCCATTGATATAACCGCCACGATCTCTTTATTATTATCTAGACTACGCCTCCAGTCCTCAGTCAGCCTAAGCAAAGATGTCCCACAGCTATGGTGCCTTCTGTACGCAGATACGTATTCAGACAATGTGTTTTGGTAAAAGTCGCCCATTTGAGCTGAAAGCAGCCTCTCGAAAACATTGTTGAGCGCAGGTAGAACGGTCACTGGTCGATAATTGCTTTTGTTCAGTTCATCGTCCTTTTTAAATAAAGGAGTAACTTGACCTAATTTCCAGTGCGACGGATGCTGTCCTGTCCTGATCGAGTGATTCATTATTGCAGCAATAGGACCAGCAATCGCGTTGGCAGACTCTTTTACCAGTCGCGGTGGTATTCCTTCATGACCACAGGATTTGCGGGAGTTGATTTTGAGTAACAAGGCTTCCACTTGGGTTTTATTAGTATATTGAAAAGCAAATTTGTTTCTCACAGCGAGCTGTTCATTGTTGTTGAAAATCGCCTGAATGCTAGGATGCGCATCCAACTCTTTTCCATAACTCTGTTCAGTAATCTCTGGCACGCCGTCCGCGATGTTGACAAAATAATTATTAAAAAGCTCCCCCATTTGTTTTTTGACTGTTATCACGACATCGTGTTCTTTTAATATTATGTCATTTGCTTGCGTGCTTTTCCTTGAATGCAAAAATGGGCGGTATGTGTCCCAAAACTCCCTTGGGTTTTCCGACTCACTTTTCTTGTCGAAGAAAGTTTTAATAGCTTTACGTCTTAGAGAAGTGCAAATGTTCCTTTGTCTCTTGTACAATTCATAATTAGTATCAATTAGTGTATAGCTATACACAGCTATATAGCACTATACACAGCCATACAGGGCTATACACAGCTAGACAGGGCTATACACAGCTTTATTATATGGCTGTGTCTCACGAGGACTGGGAACTACCGAATTCACAAATTTGATTGGCTGAAATCAATATTAAAAGCGGTCTAGGTTTTCCCATCTAGACCGGCATCTAGGCTGGTCTAGAAAAAAAAGGTACAAAGAATATAAAAAATTGGCGGATAAGACACAGTCATATAACAAACATCTTATTAACCGAGCTAGGTCGGTCTGTATGGGAGAATCTTGACTTCGGTCGCTGGTACAGACCTCACTGCGTTCGGTCTGTACTGGCGACCTCGGTCAAGATTCTCCCAAACAGACCTCCCGCTCGGTTAATAAGAACTAAATGTAGAGCTATACACAGCTATAAGGGCTGTAAACAGCTATACACCGCCACACAGAGCTGTACACACCTTTACAGGGCTATATACAGCTATACAGGGTTGTACACAACTATACAGAACTATACTGAGCTCTACAGGGCTATACACAGCTGGAGAGGGCTACACACAACATCTTCTCTGGCACCCCACCTTGCGCAGGACTTTCCATAGAGTTGGTCTGTGTACGGTGTCGAAAGCCTTCGTTAGGTCAATGAATGCCATGTAGAGGTCTCTATGTTGTTCTTGGCATTTTTCTTGGATTTGTCGTGCAGCAAAGATCATATCTACTGTTCCACGGCTTGGCCTAAACCCACGCTGAGTCTCTGGTAGACATCCCTCTGTCAGTGAACTCAATCGGTAGCTTACTATCCTGGCTTCCCAGCGATGGAGAGTAGAGATATCCCCCGATAGTTACCACATTCAGCCTTGTTCCTCTTCTTGAAGATGGTAACGATGTTGGCATCTCTGAGATCAGCAGGGAGTGTTTCGCTCTCCCATATCTTTTGGAATAGATCCAGAAGTTTTTGAGTGAGTTCATCTCCCCCGTGTTTGAAAATCTCAGCAGGTATTCCATCAGGGCCAGCCGCCTTCCCTTGCTTGGCCGTCTTAATTGCTTTCCGCAGTTCATCTATGGTTGGTGGTAAAGCTAGACTTTCATTTGTCTGGAGTTGGGGAATTTTATCCAGAACATTTTCATTAACTGGGGTTTCTTGGTTGAGAAGTTCGCAGAAGTGCTCACGCCATCTGGCTTTTATCTGTTCCTTTTCCTTACAGATGGTGCCATCTTTTACAGCTATGGGTCGTGCTCCGATGGAAGAAGGTCCATATAGCTTCCGAGTGGCAGCAAAGAATTCTCGGGTACAGTTCTTGTCAGCCAGGGTTTGGATCTCCTCTGATTTCCTGACCCACCAGTCATTCTTCAGTTTCCTGACTTCGCTCTGGACTTTAGATCTGATATCATGGTATTGACTTTTTTTCTGTTTGTTTCTGTAGTCAGACTGCCAAACTCTGAAGGCTGAGCGTTTTGCATCCGTCAGGGCTTTTATCTCTTCATCGTTGTCATCGAACCAATCTTCGCTGTGTCTTGCCAGCCTGCCTAGCTCGGTGCTGCACGTCTTGGTTCTGGCCTCTCGAAGTTCAGTCCAGCTGTTATCCACAGATTCACTATTAATGTGCCTGATCTCCTCTGCAATCTCCTTCTGGAATTTCTCCTTTACTTCAGGTTGGCTCAGTCGACTAGTGTTATATCTGGTTGGTTTTTTCTTACATGCATTACGGTGTTTCCTTTGTATGCTGAAGTTCATCAGGGACAACATGAGTCGGTGGTCGGTCCAGCAAGCATCCGAGGATTCGATAGCGCGGGTGAGGCATACGCCTACGGCATACAATAATGAACTCTATGAGGTGCCAGTGGCCAGATCTTGGATGTCTCCGTGACGTCTTCAGACGGTCTTTCTGTCTAAACAGGGTGTTCGTGACGGTCAGATTGTGCTCGGCACATTTTGTTAGAAGCATCTCCCCGTTACTGTTTGCCTTTCCAGTCCCATCCTTGCCGATAACTTTTTTCCATACAAGGTGTTCTTTTCCAACGCGGGCGTTGAAGTCTCCTAGCAGTACGAGTTTATTCCTCTGAGGGACTCTTGAGAGAAGAACGTCCAGGTCTGAGTAAAATACTTCCTTGTCATGCTGGTCAGCAAGGAGGGTAGGAGCATATGCAGAGATGAGAGTCGCTTTCCTGTTGTCACCCAGGTTCAGCTGCAAAGTCATTAAGCGCTCATTCACGCCAACCGGCAGATGGTTTAGGTTCCTCATTATCTCGGTCTTGATTGCAAATCCCACACCATACATCCTTTTCGATGCAGTAGGTAGACTTTTCCAGAAGAAGGTATATCCTTCTCCGACTTCTGTGAGTTGTCCTTCGTCCGGGAGTCGTGTCTCTTGAAGCGCCGCTATATCAATGTCGAGTCTTCGGAGTTCGCGAGCTATGAAGGCCATGCGTCTCTCCGGTCTGTCAGATTTATCATTGTCCATCATCGTTCTTACATTCCAAGTTGCAATTTTCATTGGTGTTTTCCTACCGCTTATTAGGTGAACCCGCTGGATGCGGCCTTCCAGCCAGGTTGGATTGGAGACAGACTATGTTTGGAGCACCTTTTCTAGCCCCTTCTTCAATAGAGGTAAGCAGACTGGATCCTAAATAGGCCTGCTTAGTCATGGAGGCAACTACCGAACAACTTTACTGTCTCCGGTCCTAAGGTGAGCGACTGATAAAACCTCCACCGCCTACGTGCTGGCGGTTTGTGACTAGGAACTTGCAGGCTTCACTTCCCTGTTCCCGACGCCAATCCCCAGTCGCCGCAGGGCTTTCTTGTAGTGATGCAAGCAGAAGCTGTGCGTGGGGATGAGCAAAGTCGCACAAACAGAGCTCCGTAGTCTTCACCAGGTGTGTCTTAGTCCGATTGCAAGGGGACCTCGACGACCGGAGCCACACCTAGTTGCCGTGAACTGCCGTTGATCTTGTAGGATTCGTCCGCCTTTCCAGTTTCCTGACGGATGTCCACGTCGCGCTGCGTTTGAGTCAGGGTCGCCTCCTTTAGCCTTTATGTGAAGACATTGTCCACAAGGCAGTGGATAGCCCTGTACACAGCTGTACAGGGCTATACACAGCCATACAGGGCTATACGCAGCTTTTTACAGGGCTGTGCATAGCTGTACACAGCTAAACAGCTGTGCACAGCTCTATAGAGCTATATACAGCTATACAGGGCTGCACACAGCTATACAGGGCTATACACGGCTATACACAGCCGTACACGGCTATATACCGCTATACAGGGCTATACCCAGCTATATATAGGGCTATCCGCATTTCTGTAAACAGCTCACTGGACTTCTAAGTTTAATAAACTAAAACAAGACAGCGTATATTGTACTCATTATAAGAGTTTGGATGTAAAAAACTTCAAGAGCCAATTTTTTTTTAAGACATTCGTTTAGCAAACAAGCCAAGCAAATTGTGACTAACGCGATCACTTTATCAAGCAAAGGAAATTTCAATAATATTTTTTTTCAAAAGTGCTTTTATCAAACATGAGTATTAATGGTAAGAATCGAGGTGGCTGTGAGTCACTGAATTAAGATAATGATTAATGAAAGGCTGGGAGTGGACTCATATGCTATGAGCTCAGGGGGTCCACTTCCAGGAAAATTTTTACAATACTTTTTTCTATACTTTTCTTTTTTAAAGCATTCGAACACTTTTATAAAAGGTCTGTTAAAGTTGTATTTTGACATTATATTCAATTATGAAAAGTGGAAGGAAAAATTTTGACGACTTTCCCTCACAATCGAATCGAGGAGGAAGAACTTTGAAGTCTTGCTATTACAATCGTGCCTTAAATGCGACTTCTATGTGCCTTGGTACCGGTGCTATGTTCGGGTCAATCACTGACAGGGCACTACTTCCATTGAACGGCACTGAGTGGTTTAACAGTGAAAAATTGAAGCTAAAAATCCCACGCTGTCAATCGTGCATAAACGATCCACGAATAAGAAACATTTCCATTGAAATAACTTACTTCGTAGAGAACCCTTTTTCGACTTGGCACATGCGACTGCCAACGCTATATATACGGGTCAGCGGATTTAAGTGAAAGTGTTCACAATTATGAACGGTATATGAAGTATCATATTATCTGAAGGCGCCATGTTAGATTTAATCTTAGTCTGGTAAGAAACGGTGTTAACCAGATCTGTGCCAAACAACTAAAGTTAGAGGTCTGAAACATCTTAGTTTTTAAACTGATACATAGCGGTTTCAATCAGTTCTGTACTAAGCAAATACAAATAGAAGTCGCATCTGAAATACTGTCTCGATAGAAGGAAAATATGTTCGGCACAACAAGCACAGGATTTGGAGTTGGCACGTCAACTTTTGGGGGGTTTGGTTCCACTACTCCTTCGACGAATACCCTCGGCCTTGGAACGCAGGAAAACCCAATGAAAGATTTGGAAGTGCAAAGCCCGCCAGATGACACAGTTAGTTCTTTGAAGTTCAGTCCGAAAGCTGACTTCCTCATCGCATCATCTTGGGCAAATGATGTGAGTGTTATTTAGACATGTGCGTAATTTTGTTTGCTGTTTACGATCCTTTTTTGCAAGCGATACTTTGATCATTTAAGTTTCGAGATTGATCTGTTCATCGTCCGGAAAGAGTACCATATAACCCCATACATTAATTATCCATTCCACTTCTTTGTCTTTCACGACAAAACTTTAAAAACAAAGTCTACTAATCTGAATGCATAATTAATGTATGGGGTTATATGGTACTCTTGTCCATCGTCCTTCTCTGTTAATTAGAAAAAACCTTGGCAAGATTTCCATATAACCCCATACATGAATTATGTGTAGAGTGTTGCAAAGATACCTTTACAATTAGTCTTGCTGTGATGGAATGCATAATTAATTAATGTATGGGGTTATATGGAAATCTTTCCAAAACCTATTTATTCCAAGGAAGGCAACTTTCAGGATGCAGCTAATAGTTGTTCATTTTAAGGCAGACATATACGACTTTCATAATGGCAGGTGTAGGGCGAGGCCTGGTGAGAATAGTATGAAAATGAGGTTACAAAGGCCTCAAACTTTCACTTTCCTCCTCGAGTAGCTCATGCGATGATTCTCCCAATGCACTCTTTCTCATGGAAGATGATATTCTAGGCGCTTCTCTGCTTGGATGAAAGCCTGAAGAGCTGAAAAACACAGAACTACATTTGTGGCTTAAGTGCTGTGATGATTTGGGAAAAGGTCTGAAGACAAAAGCTTGTGAAACAAGTGTACGAGTACATCAGAACGGGCAAAGATAAGAATATTGTTGATCCCGATCCAGACAAGATTTACAGTCACAGAAAAGAACAATTGAGCACATTCACTGATGTCAGCGGAGAAGAGGTTATTTGGGTGCAGTTTCCCGACGATGGTTGGGGCACTTCGCTTAAGAAAATGCTAATGTTTACCAGAGTCTAAATGAATCACCAAGATAATTGTACACCGTCTAAAAAGCATCCCAGTTATTAAAACCAGTGTAAAAAGCTGCTGTATATTTCTTAGCTTTCAAGTTTTCGAGCACAAATTGTTTCTTTGTAAAGTTTGTGATTTGCCACTGAGCATTTTCTAATCGCAATTGAATGTCATTGATTTCCTGTTCTAATTCTTCAATTCTTTTAATTTTGTTTGCAATGGTTTCCGTCAAATCATAACATTCCTTTCCTGGCAAGATTATATTCTAATTCTCAACAACCCTGGTAGTCAAACCGATACTTCCCCTTTTTTTTCCAAATCAAATTCCACAACACTCTCGGTAGATGCATTTAATCTAGAAGCAGCGGAAGTCGACACCAGTGGTTCGCAAATGATCCTTTCTGTTGTTGGTTTCCTCTTGCGAGGCGACATGTGAATCCAGGAAAATATTGATGGTATGGCACCAGGTTTTAGGCATAATTTCTTTGCAAGTGTCTTTTTTAGATCTTCATATCTAAAATGTCTGGAAGAGACCTTTGTTGAGTCAGACATTTTAAAGTCTTTTCCTTTGTCTTGCCTGATGGCCTGTATCCATTTCTTCTTTATTATTTTTTCTATGGGAAATTGGAAGTACGACACTTTTCACCTATGCTCTTCGTCCCACCTCCCCATAACAGCCACCTCACCACAATGGCCACTTTTTTGGTCCCATCTAGCTGTCCATACTTTACACCCTTATCTCCCCATAAAGGCCACCTCTTCGTAGGGGCCACTATTTTGGTCCCATCAGGCCATTCATACATTACACCCCCACCTCCCCATAACAGCCACCTCTTCGCAAGGGCCACTTTTTTGGTCCCATCAGGCTGTCCATACATTACACCCCCACCTCTCTATAACAGCCACCTCTCCACAACAGCCACTATTTCAGTCCCATTGGGCTGTCCACACATTATACTCCCATCTTCCCATAACAGTCACCTCTCCACAATGGCCACTTTCTTCTGTCCACAAGGTGGCCCTTGTGGAGAGGTTCAACTGTATTTGTCTAGACACAAGTGTGGGACAAAGAAAACATTTTCTCACACACAACTGGGAGCCATGCCTAGCCGACCATGCATCCTGACCTTTATTATATCAACACAGTGAACCATTAGGGTTACAACACGAACAAAACAGCTGAAACTGAGCCTAGATACAGAAGACTGACATGCACAAATAACTGGACCTAAGGCCCTACTTGAAATCCTGTATCCCTAAAAACATATGGAGAGTGGGTGGGTGGGGAAGATCAGGCAATCGCAGAAGGCAACAAAACAACTGAACTGAACTTTGAAATGCCATGTGACCTGGAGACCCCCCACACCCTCGAACCCATTCTCCCGGCTACATGTGAGAAAAACGTTTTCCACTTCTTTCGTCCCTCAGCCAGTGGAAAACCACACTTATTCCCAGTGAAGAATTGAACCTCACAGTTTTGGATTCCAAGCTCTGTAGTTATTTCTTGTGGGGACTGATACTTTTTCTTTATTCCACATTTGTGTGAAGTGGAGTAAAATCTCTCTTTATTTACTTACTGTGCTCATAATTAAACATCTTTCCTAAATTACAATTTTACATGAGTGTACAAATTGTTTTTGTCTCTGTTAGATTCGATGTTGGGAAGTCAGAGAAAATGGTCAGACCATTCCCAAGGCACAACAAAATCATACAGGTCCCATCCTGGATTGTTGCTGGCATGATGTAAGTTATTTGTGGTACTCTACTATTTTTACTGGTACATATGTTATGTTTTGCAGTTTATGGTGATGTTGATTTCTGCAAGATTGCATTGTCCTGACTCTGGTGTTTATTTGTAGGATGGCACAAAAGTGTTTACAGCGTCCACTGACAAACAATGTAAGATGTGGGATTTGAATTCCAATCAAGCCATTCAAGTGGCTCAGGTAATATGCACTTTCTGCATTTCAATCTTAGCACAGTTCACCTAACTATCATGGGTGACCAAGACAGAATTCTCCTCACAATACCAGTAATGTATCAAGCAGAAAGGTGTTGAGAATAGAGGAAAATAGAAATTAGGGGTGTATTCATTGAACCAAAACCAAAATCTCCAAATGAACATCTTAAGAACTGTATGGCAGACAGCAGAGAGAATTACTCATGTGAAAGGGTTAAGAGAAATCAGGTTGGCTTTAACCCTTTACTACCAAGATCTGATTGTAAATTCTCCCCTCGAGCTGCTACACATTTCCTTGTAAGTCAGTTCTATGAAGTTGGTGTTAGATCAAGGTAAAAAACCTCTACCTGATAAGTTTTAGTATTCTCGTTACCTGTTTGCTAGGTAATGTATGGTTATTAGAAGGTGAAGTTACATGTTAATCACTTCAGGGAGTTAAACTTAACTCTTTTCACTACCAAGGTCTCAAGTGTAATTCTATCTTCCATGTATTTGTTATATAAGTTCTGGCATTTACCAGTCAATAAATTTTGTGAAAAGAAACATGTCAAAAGATTTCCCACCTCATGAAGATAAGTTAACAAACAATTATGGCAAGTTGTAGTTAATTTCTTTCTTGTTCTTTTCCTGTTGTTCAGCATGACAAGCCAGTTAAAACATGTCACTGGGTCCAGGCACCAAACTACAGCTGTCTTATGACTGGCAGTTGGGATAACACGCTGAAGTTTTGGGACACAAGGTCAAATAATCCCATGATGGTTGTATCACTTCCAGAGAGGGTTTATTGTGCAGATGTGGTGTATCCAATGGCCATTGTTGGAACAGCACAGAGAGGAATAATCTGTTATCAGTTGGAAAACCAGCCATCAGAGTACAAGAGAATTGATTCACCACTGAAGTACCAGGTTTGTAACTTAATGCGCCATGTATCCTTGTATCCCTACCATTTAAATGAAGGAGGAGGGAAGGCACTTATATGAGAGGGGTGTTTGTTTGACATTATTGCCTTAGGGATAAGCACTTAATTGGGGGAGGGCGCTTATAAGAATGTGGGTGCTTATTTAAGGAAATATATCTCCCTATGAGCCAAGAATATAACAGACAATGAGGGCATCAGATTAAATTTTAATTGACAGCTCTCCCTCCTCTTCTTATTCAACTTTGTACATCAAAGAAACAAGTCTTGAGATTGGGCAGAGTGATCTTATTGCTGCAATGAGGGGTGAAATTACTTTAGGATGCTTTCAAAAACCTTTTCAACAAGAGTTTTTTCCCTCAGTGTAGTTAACCTCAGGTTGCCTTGAGCTGAGCAACAAAGCTTCTGAGTGATTCAGATATCATAGGCTCAATTCCTTCCCTTTGTCCCTTTGTATATGACAAAGACCTTACATCTCTCATTTGTGTGATATGATTTTTTTACTCTTAAAATGGTGATATGATATTGTAGTTATTTTGATGTTCTCTTTTGTTGTAGAACCGCTGTGTGAGTATTTTCCGGGATCCGAAGAAAAACAATCAGCCTGTGGGCTTTGCTCTTGGCTCTGTTGAAGGAAGAGTTGCAATCCAGTTCATTCAACCACAAAATCCGTAAGTCCAGGTCAATTCCTGTTTGTTTGAAAATTTGTCATGGAACTTTATGGCTCAAACAAAAGCTTCATTTACTTGTAGGAAAGATAACTTCACATTCAAGTGTCACAGATCTAATGGAACAGGAAATGCAAACTTTCAAGACATTTATGCAGTAAGTCTGTGATAATAAGCAAGCTTTCTTACAAGAGGAAGAAATGGTGTACATTTTGAATGAATTGTCAGATAGTAAAATTCAGTTAATCAGGATGGATGTGAAGCAGGAAAGCTTCAACCTTGGATTCACTCATTGTAGCATTTTCTTGCTGTTACACTCATAACCTTGCCGTTGATACAGTTACTAAAAAAAATTTCTGCTGAGGGTGTTAGGTAATTTACAAACAATTTGTCCAGGTCAGTGGGTTAAATTAAGGAGTGTTAAATGTAAAATTAAACAATTTCCCATTGCATCATCTGGAGAACAGACAAATGTATCAGGTATGGGGTGGATTTTAGTTATAACATGAACTCTAGAAGAGAGAATTATTAATCAGATAATATGGTGAGACAAGATTATTGTTATTGATCATAGTGAAATAAAATACTGTTGGAGTGAGACATTTTTTTCACAACATAGCCACCTTAAATGTGATTTCATAATAATCTTATCAAAGAGTACAAAGGTTTTCCTCATTTTTCAAGAGAAATGTTCCAGAAAGTCTTTGACTACATGATTAGACCCAGATTTCCCACATTGCTTCAAAACTTTTTTAGCATTGGCTATTGTATGCAAGGCAAAGCAACCACCAATTGTTTTATTTTTCAGGTAAACGATATTGCATTCCATCCTGTACATTTCTGTCTTTTGGCCACTGTAGGGTCAGATGGAAAGTTCAGTTTTTGGGACAAGGATGCTCGCACAAAACTCAAGGTTTGCACTTGACTATACTTTGGAAGACTGGATGCAAGACCTCTTTATTTTCTTTCATAATCCATATGGAATGGTTGCTTTATGTGGATCTTTGAAATTTTATCACGCATGACAAAATTAGACTTGAAATATTGAGCAGATATTTTTTCCATGTGGAGGCATTGGAGATGTAGTAGTTGACTAAAACGATCTAACATCAATAACCATATTCTTGATACTCTTCCCTATACATTTCCTTTAGTACTGACAAGGAGAATTCATTTAACAATCAAAAGTTCCTCGGTTGATGATCGTTTCTTTTATTCTCATCATCTTAATGAACGATTAGGGGAGCAGGGTTGGTGTAGTGGTGAGAGTGTATTGTTATAGTGTATTTTTAATCGGAAATATGCAAAGAAATATATGAAAATCTGTAACAACCAAACTCCCAGCTTCACTCTTTGACTTAATAGTTCCATTGAATATATATATTTTTCCCTTTATAATTTTTTTGGGGAATTAGTGAGGAGCCCACACTGTCACTGTTCTCTTCCAGAATTTATTTCTCAAAAAAGCAGGCAGAACAACGTTACGCGAAGTCTCTGGCCGACTAAAAACTACTCACAATGATTTTCTTATCTCATGAACACACCTTGATCAAAACGTAAGTTGATTGGCTTTAAAGTTCTTCCCAACAAAGATAAACAAACTGATTTATCGGAGCGGGACAGATCGTGACACTCGATTTCCGGCAGATAATTTTGAATCGTTACAATACTAATTATCCTGTTTCCGACGACATTTTTTTTTTTTTTTTTTTTTTTTTTTTTTTTATCAGACTTCTGAGCAGCTGAACATGCCCATAACAGCCTGTTGTTTCAATTCGAAAGGAAATATATTTGCCTACAGCTCGGGTTACGACTGGTCAAAGGTAACTATAAACCTGTAAACTTCCTTGGTTCTTTAAGAATGAATTGGAAACCTGGAGACTGAACTGCAATTTTCTTTCTTTCTTTCAAGGGACACGAGTACTTCAACCCTCAACTCAAGCCCAAGATCTTCCTCAGAAACTGCACGGATGAGCTGAAACCCAGGAAAAAATAAATATTTCAGTTAGGAAATTGTAAATCTGTCAGTCTTGCACAGTAAGCAAGTCATGCACCAGCCATCAAGAACCTGGCTTGGTTCAAAGTACTCACATCATGATGTGAAGGAATAATGGATCAAATGATGAAGTCGATACAATAGGGACCTTAAGCAGTCAGGACGGCAACGCCAAGGAAGACTCCGATTAAAAAATGAATTTCTACTCTTAGTTAGAATTTCAAACATGGCTGCAGGAGCTTACTGTCTCGTATGGCGCCACAGCTCAACTTCAGCATGACGTATAAAAGTAGCGTTGAGTTCCAAATGAAAATTGAAATAATTTGCCGTCGCGGTTTCGGTTCGCAGACGACGCAAATTTTGGCGATTTCACGTTGTTGTTTTGCATAGGACGACTAAGAAATGTACAAAGTTTCAAAACGCACGTGCTGAGCTATTGTTCTGCCAAGTAGATCTCTTGTTTTTCCACGTCCTCGTGTCCGTCGCCGTCGTGGTTGCTTAAGGGCCCTAATAAAAATTGTGTAGCTGTAAACAGAACAGTATATAGACTTCAACACTTGTTGTCATGTCTCTAGTTTATTGGCATTACTGCCAGATCAGAATGTAAGAGCATTGAATCATTTCACCCTTCACTCTCTGACATCAGTATGTATATTCTCCTGACCGTTCTCTATACATTTCCTTTGGTACTGGCAAGGAGAATTTGTTTAACAGTCAAAGCTCCTTGGGTTAGTGATCAGTTCCTTTATTCTCACGACTTTTGTGAATTATTCAGCAGTAACACTGATAGGAGAAATTAGATGCTGGTTACTCTTAGGGTTTTACTGATGTAAGAGAGCGATATATATGTTGTTCATAAACTTCTACATGTACTACAGGAAGAAAAAACCAAAAGATGCGTAAAAATAAAGTGTTTTTCTAAAGGACTATTTTCTTCAGAAATATTAGATTTGGCGTAATTCTTGAAAGAAATATACTTTACTCTCTGAATGCCCCTCTGCATCTGGAAGCATGTAGGTGTTATTGCCCAAGCGGAAGTAAACATGGCTGAATATTGGGTCTCTTTTACGTTTTTTTGCATACCTGCACGAATGAGAGGTCATAAAAAATGCCAAAAAAGGAACAGGCAAATGTCCCGTCACCTTCACTAACAAGTTTGGTCGGTAACCTATGCAGTGTACGGCCAAAATATTACGCCATAAGATTAAACAAATTCGCCTTGAGCTTTGTTCGGTGTGTTTTGTGCCTTCTTTGTTTTGAAAACTGCCGGAAAGCGTACTGATTCATAAGGTGGAGTAGCCATAATCTCGTATAAGTCGCTTCATGAAAGCAGAACAGGAAACGTTGATTTCTGTCTTCAATGAAACAGCTTTCACACAAAAATAGTATACTGTATTCCTTTAGAGTATTCTATTCTATTTTATTTCATAACTTCTTAGTTCCTCTTCAAAATAAATTTATTTTGTGAGTTTGTCACAATCTATCACCAAGACAAGCTATCAGCAAACAATAAATTTTGTTTTTTCGTCAGTCTATCACCGACTGGAAACAAGCTGTTAAGAGTGTCAGGAAGAGAGTGCTCTTCTCATATCTCGCTTTTACCTTTCTCTCCACGAATTGTTCCATTACGTACAAAAGTGGACTTTTTGTGAGTTCGTGAGTGTTCCGTTTTCCCTCGCGTGAGTAAATCTCTTCTGTTTTTCTTAGTACCAAACGTTTCGCGTGACTCACGATTTACAGCTCGCAGTTTGCCACAAGGAATACGGAAAATACTGCAGTGTAAGCTTGTTTTACTTATACATTTAAAGAGGGAATGGGGATTTTAGGAGAGAAATATTGATTTTAATGACTGCTTGAAGAGGCTGGATAAAATTCAATTTTGAAACTTTAGCGGAGCAACCTCGAACACTTTCGTTCGTGATTTTTACTGTGACGTCAAGTAACGTGATTAAGGTGAAAATTGACGTCATAATCGCTTTGTCCTAAGAGGCAGTGTCAGTAGAATGGTGAATTAATGACCAATAGATGAATGACACACGCAGAGGAACCTCTCAGCTCCGTTGAGACAAGAAAACGAAAGGGTTCTAAAATAAGAGTTTCCTCTCTGATCAAGCCCTGCAGCGAGTTTCATAGAATAAAACTTTTGATGAGTTGTCATGGAACCTGATTCTTTTCCAATGTCATTCTGAAATATTCTGTTTCTCGACTTCAGTTGACTGCTCCAAGCAAGGAGATAAGAATTTAGAATATGATGAATAAATAAGATATCTCTTAAACTTGTCTGAACGTCAGCGCCTTAATTGGAAGACAAGATGAAATGATAATAATACATTGAACCATTTCTATCTATTCCATCGTAACAAGGGGTCAATGGATCAAATGTTCTGGAGTTTTACTTAACACACAAATGATGAAACGTAGGAATAAAAAGCACACTTGTTTTTAAAAACTAAATGAAAATTAAATTACTTTTCTTTAGACAAAACACTTTTTTTTAACAGCTCGATCACACTCGCTAAAAGCAATCAAACAAAGCCTGTTAATGCGTTTCACATCGTTTCCGGTTGAAACAACAACGCTGAATTACACAGCTATAAATCTTTTGTTTTCCTCGAATGTTAATTTGAAAAGTTCACTGTAGTTCAGCAGTTTACCAATTCAGATGTCCCAACAAAGATAAAATCTCTTGATTGATTTATGAGGATAAAAATAGCCAATTTGTATAACTATGTTTATTTGGGAACCCACTGTGCTTAAGTTCTAAAGGTCACGCAATATTTGGTATGCTTTCGCACGTCAACTTGATTAAGATCAACAAGAAAATGTCCTAACTTCTTTAGGTCGAACTCGTGGAAAAATAGTTTTTGTTGTGTTGACTGTACAACCTAACTTTTGCCCTCTTGATTACTTAATTCCTTATCTACTCTATCTGGTCAGACGGTCTTCTATTTTGCCAAACGTGATTTTCGATGTGTGCCCAATTTGAGGTAATTATTGAGTACTACTTCTCACAACACGAACATAAAAAACAAGCAATATTCCAACCGCAAGTTATAGACATCAACCACTACTTATTTTAGACAACTTCATGGTCCTTCATGATGATTGGATTATTTCACACTCCTTAGAGAAGTTGTCTCGAAATGAAAAGCCGAAAAACATTCCTATGTCATGGTAACGAACCGATCTAGGAGTTGACTGGAGATCTTGGAGAGTTCACGAGAAAATCATAGCAAAAGATAGATTAATAAAAACACTGATTAGTGAAGCTCTCTTGACTAGTAGGACACAGATTTACTTCTTGTGGTTCTCGTGCCATTAGTTAATTGAGGTAAACTGGTCTTTCTTCGAGGCAGGCTAGCTGTCATTGCATCGTCCCGTTGTCGCACACCTGTAAAATTCCGACTGTACATTGGCACTCTTGTGCCACTTGGGGGCGTTTGTAACGGAGATACAAATCCTAATTTGTTTGGGCTAGTTCTTCTTTGCGTTGGATCGCTACAAATAGATGATAAGTTACCAGCGGAGCCGGTAAAACCGCCGTGCGATGGAAGTAGATCCATCGAAGGCATTGTCACTGTTTTGTGAAGTGCTCTACGATTTCTCGACAAGGGTGCACTTTCCAGTCTTACGTTTTTGGTTATGAATGGTTGAAGGGTCAAATCTTCTTTTGAATCAGCTGCAAGAACACTTTTACTGAGTGGCGTGCGGCCAGAATGGTTTTGTATGGGTGGAGCGCTCGGAACTCTTCGTAAGGAAGCTTTATCTCGTATGCCCTGAATTTGTTCCTGTCTCCGCGCAAACGCTTGGGTTGCCTTTTCCATTTCACGCATGCGAGTCGTTCTATCCCTTTCCAGTTGTTGGAGTTCGAGACTGAGCCTTGTTTGATGGACAGAGTTCCTTTTTAAAGCCGAATTTTCGTCCGCAGAGGACATTTTTTCTCGAGATTCGTAGCGTTATCAAAGTCAACTTTGTTGCCAGCCTGCGAGTCCGAATTATGTCATGCCTGTTATTCTATAACACGTATCTGACCTTTTCACCACAAAGGCAGTGACCTCGAGACTATCAATGCCGTCTATTGTTTGGAAACGTCATTCGTTGCATGATATTGATAGGCAACAGATAAGTATGGTTCTTTTTCATCATAATTGTCTTTTAATGAACTAAATAGGGATTAAAGGCTTTTATAAAGTTTGATAGCAAGCAATAATGCGAAACGGCTTAGGAATTTTTTTCCGCACGCTTTTGTTCGAGATTATAGAAAAATAATATCAGGCTAAAATACGTATTCTTGTCATTAAAGGGTTTTTCTCCTATCGCGCACTTAAGTGGGTAGTTTCTTTAATTTTTTTGAAGCATTGTGAAGCTTTGGAGTTTACAGAATGAAAATATGATATCAGTTTCAAAGACCGAGGTTTACTTACGTGTCTTTAAGGTAATCTTGTTGACCTAACCTCATTTGTCATTTACTCAGAAATCAAGATTACAGGTCTATCATTTTGCGGTGATTTCAAAGTCGTCGCTGAAACCTATTTCAATCCTTATTTACGGCATTTCCATGACATTTGTTTTTTTTAAGGCGATAGGTTCTTTCAGCCGATATAAACAAATTTAACACCCACAACCATTGATCCATATGTTAATTCATATGTCAACACTTGGAAATCACGCAAGACTGAAAGGTTTTCCTTGAATAAACAAAGCGTAACACACTAACATTTATTTCAAATGAATGCTTCTCATTTTTAAGGGTTTCAATACTCTCGGGCCCACAAACTGCTTAAAATGTCAGCTTAAGTTTACTTATCATGGAACCTTTAACAACTTAACGATTACGGCCACTTTTTATCTTAGATATGTGTCTGTTGTGTACAGTGTTCTACATATTGTCAATAACCTCATTTCCTCTCCATATGTAATGTATCAAATTAAAAAAATAGTGACAAACTGAGTATGTTTCATTTTCTCCGGTTGGATCAATGAACATGTGACATTCATGGACCTTGTCCACTGTCCTCCTTATTCAGTCCAATCCAGAGTTTATCCTTTGAGCACTTCTTAATGACGTCATAGTGACTAGGATTCTGGTACAAGCAATGATCAACATGGCGGCTATAACTGACTGGATCAGTGAAGAAAGAGCTCTCACGGACACTTTTAACCGCTTTGATACAGATTTCTCGGGTGAATTAACAGCAGAACAACTAAAGGAGCTATACTGTAGCATACAAGATGGCGGGATAAGTTTACCGCAAGTGGAAGCGTCAATAGATGCCGTTTGTGCGGCCGAGACTTGCGACAGGCAAGAACTTTTTGATGTTCTCAACGAAATGGACCGGAGGTATTTTCTCGTTCGCGACTTGCAATGGGAATTTGCTCTGTTGGATAGAGAAAATAAAGGTACCATTAGTGAAAAAGATGCAAGGTTCGTATTTCAGGCTGTTCACGACGATTTTTTCTCGCATCGCCGATGGCTTAAATTCCTCCGTAGTCGCGCTGCTCCCGGTTCTGGAATCAGCTTTGCAGAGATCGAAGTTCCACTTTGCGATATACCGACCATGGATTGGCTAGACGAAGAAAAACAAGATGAGGGCAGTGCGAAGGAGGAGGCGTTGAAACGTAAACAGGAGAAAGAGAGAGCTGAGGAAGAGGCGAGGAAAGCCGCCGAAAACAAGGCGAAGTTAGAGAAAGAAGCAGCGAAGAGGAGGGCAGAAGCGGCAAGGAGAAAAGCCGACGCAGAAGCTGCTGAGAAAAAGGCCGAACAAGAAGAACTGGAAAGGAAGGCAAAAAAAGAAGAGGAGGAAAGAAAGCGTCAGAGGTTGGAGGAAGATGCGAAGAGGCTCAGCGAGGAAGAAGCAAAACAAAGAGAAGAAGAGGAGAGACTGAGGCAAGAAGAAGTTAAGAGGTTAGAGGAAGAAGGGAGGAAGAGAAGAGAGAAGGAAGAAGCAGAACAGAAGGGGAAGAAAGAGGAACTACGAAAACAGCAGGAACTGGAACGAGAAAAGGAGGAAAGAGGTCAGAAAGTAGTTACCAATAGTTGTTCATACCAAAATTAGCAAGGGTTGCTTCTTAGGATTACAAGCTTGGGATAGGGCCTGTGGATATATCCCGGGGATTATTCCATGACTCACCTCACAAGCCCAGCCCATATGGAAAGCTACTGATTTATAATGGTAATTGAATTGAGTGGAGTGCAATTTGTACAGGTAATCACATGATTTGGAGTGCAATTTGGAATAAATAAGCATGAGTAAATTTTTTCAAAGACTAACAAAATTGCATGAGCCCGTAGGGCGAGTGCAATTTGTGGTCTTTGAAAAAATTTACAAGTGCTTATTATTAAAAACATGTGATTATCTATTAATAATATACATGAAAACTACGAGGTAGCTTCTCATAACTGCGCAGAAGAAAAGCGCACGCATCAGGTGCAAAAATTATTTATTCAAACCCTGCGAGTGACATTGACCTTGACATTGACATCAACCAATCATTCTGACCAATCAGAATGTCTGGTTTGTTTCTTTCTTTGCACTGAATTAACCCTCTTCTGCACTGAATTAACTCTCTTCTGCACTGAATTAACTGAAAACTGCATTCATCTTAACCAATCAGAACTGAGAAATATTTTCATGTATATTATTAGGTTTAAAATCGTACAAGTGATTTCAGAATCAAGCAAGTGTGCATCTTCAAGGCTGTGCTCTAAGAAAAAGTGAAAGGAGCCCTCTGCTCTGAAACTTTGAAATACAGGGTGCCCAGCATATGCTTTTACATGAAAAAACTAAAATTCCTAAGTCGCCCAAGAGCGAAAGTAAGATGCCAGGGGCCACTGTGTGCTGCTAGGCCATAGACCTGATCAGGTGGATTACAACAACAACAACTTTATTACCCCATAATTTAGGAATTACAGTCATTTGTAAAAAACTGATTTGATAAGCTTGTTTAAGGGTTACCAGCTTCCTGAAATAACTAAGTAGCTAAAAACACCAGAGAGCTGAAAAACACCAGAGAGCAGATTACTTCCAGGATTTTTTAGTCTGGTTACTTTAAACATTTTTACATTAATTGAAATCTGACTGGTTGTTGTGTTTTAGAAAAGGTTTCTTGTTGGCTGGGAAAAAGATGCAATTCAGAGGAAAAATGGTGTGATTCGTGAATAAATTGTACCAATAAGGGCCAATCAGATTGTAAAGGATATAAAAAACCAAGGTCCAGTTGTTCAAAGAGATAGCTTGCTCAGTCTCGTCTCCAGCTGATAAGTGTTTACAAGACTTGCTGCATTATCCACCTTCTAGCAATTTATCCAGTGGATACCGTTGTCCCCCCTTTGTCTTAACTAAAGTTATTAGTAATTCTTTAAAAGTAGTCGTATATAACCAAAACAATGTACTGGAAACCACCCTTTGACCTCTGGGTTATAGAGGCTGGTGCTTTTAAAGTTGTTAAAGAAAATTAGGAGTTTGAAAAATCTTCATAGGCTATCTTCCCTAAAGAGGAGAGGTACATTCTGCCTCTAAGGTCCTATGAAAATTTTCATTGGACCTCCTAGGTGGGGGATGGTGGGTACCAGCATAAGGTGGCAATGTCCATAGTTGTTGCCAATGTAATCAAGCTATCGTTAATGAAAGTCTATTTGAGATACCTTACATCTTTGGAAATGGAAACTAGAAAATATATTTTTCCATTAAATTTGATGATCATGCAGAAAGAGAAGAGCTGGAACGAAAGCAGAAAGAGGAGGCTATGGAGGCTGAAGAATTAGCTGAGGAAGCAGAAGAAGCAGAAAGAGCAGCAGCAGAACAAGCTCGTTTAGCAGCTGAAGCAGCAAAGGAAGCAACAGATGAGGCAGCAAGGAAGGCTGCTGAAGAAGCAGAAAAGAAAGCCCTAGCTGAAGCTATGGCAAACAAAGAGAAGAGATTGCGTGCCAACTTGAAGGGGGCTGTGAAATCAAGGAAGGAAGAAAGACTGGAGGGATCCATCAAGAATGCCAAGAGTGCTAAAATGCCAGGTAAGCTCTGATTCTTATTATTGGATTGTATAGCATACAGCAAATTTTTGTGATACAAATAGTTATTTAGGAGGAAGTTGGCTGGCTAAAAATAGATCTCTTTCATACTTGGCAGGCCTTATTGCTATTCAGTCTTTTATATTGATGTAAATTGGCCTTTCTGGGAACATGGATACGTTTTAAGACAATTACAGAATTTCAACTCAAAATGGAGCCCAAGAGGGCTAATTTGCATGTAGGTGAAAGAATAATAATCCTGCCTGCTGCTACAAAAGAGGTCTACGTGGCAACAGAAAGGAGAATGAATTAAAAGAGAAGATTAATGTGGATCAGAAACAGTGAATTTACATTTCTCAACCGAGCCTTAATTTTGTAATAATCAAGATCTAATGGACTATGTTTTGTCATGTGACAGGTTTGAAGAATGACATTGATACTGCAGAAAACACTCTTAAGGATGTCCAAGCAGGGGAAGCCTTAAAAAGTGCAATAAGACGCCGACATCTGGGTGATCTGGAGAAGTCAATGGCTCATATTCGCTAAAATGGCTGGGAGAAAGGTTGGGGCATTGAACTCAAAGAAGGAGAAAAACTGGCAAACAGGTTAAAGCGTCTTGAGAAACTGAAAGCAGAAATTATGGAACTGAAGCAAAGTGTAATATCAGAGATCAGGAGTTATGGGAATCCCCCTCCTGCAGTCCATAAGGTATTTAATTTATACATTTTGTATTTAACAATTATTCGCCGAAGGTAAGGTGAATATCGTTGAATAATCCCTGAGATAGAGTCGAGGGGATTATTCGACAATATTCAACGAACCTGAGGTGAATAATTGTTTGAGTATAATTTCAGAGCTGAGCAACAGTGAAATTTCTAAAATCATAACGTTTTAGTAACATTTATTAACATTTTATTTTAACATTTTATTTTAACATTTTATATAAACCGTGTGGAGCGGTTTATATACTTTTAGCATCTATAAGGACCGCTCGACCGATCAGATTGCTGGAAACTCTTTGCTCAGCTCTGAAATTATATTAAACCTAGATAGCTTATATAGGTTATAGTAATTCTGTAGTTTCTTTTCTAACAGCTCATTTAAAACATTTCATGAAAGGCTGATCAGAAATACACTCAAGAGAAACACCGGCAGTTGATACTAATGATAACTTCACAAGAATCAGTCTTGATTCAATCAGGATTAATATTATAAATGAAAAAAATACGCATATCTGATTGGATGAAAACAAGTATAATTTTATATTTTTTATGTAACATGAATGCAAAGTTGTTAAACAAGAGCAAATTACAAATGGCACATGTGACATCAAAATTTTGTCTGTCTTGACCTCCTGTGGTCTTTTTTTTATGCAAATTATTAATAAGTAATAACATGATTTCTCATGTAATTTGGTGTAAGCACTTGAACATTTTTCATGGCTATAAATTGCACTCTCCCTTTGGGCTTTTACAGTTTTGTTGTCTTTGAAAAATTTACTAATGTTACACCAAACTGCACTTGAAATCACATTATTACTTATACTTAAAGCTTTGTAGGTTCCAAACAGACATTTCACGATTTGAATGTGACGCAACTCTAGTTGTTACCAGGCCGAGTGAGGGATCTTGTTCGGCCATATGTATGATGAATTTTGTTCTGAAGATTGTGAATGTGAATCGTTTTCATCCTATTGATTTTGACAAACATTTTTCAGTTATTTTGAGAAGGAACCCTCAGATTGTTTGTAAGTGTTCGACATTTCGACTTATTTGAGCTTTGTATACTTTCATTTTGCTTTATTTTGCTTCGCGTTTGCAAGTTTCGATTGTGTAATTCTACTTTCAGAAACATATTTGTATGTCGTTTATTTGATGAACCTGGGTTAAAAGACTCTAAAATTAACCAATCCATTCAGCGGCTAAAAGCTTAAACCAGAATGTATTGTCATTGAGGGTTGAAAATGTCCCACCCTGTAAACTGTGCAAACCTAACTACATCCTATCTAGTTTGAGAGGGGAAAGTATGCATACCACTATTTGAAATTTAACTGGGTATTTTGACTTGTGTAGTACTGTCACAAAATTTAAATTGAAGAGTCTTGGTGCAACTGGCAATTCTCTAACAGTGACTCCACTCTCATCTTCTCTTGTCTTATGAAGTCTAGATTTATCAGTGAGCCTTTCTACTTGCCTCTTTACAGGTTATGATTGCCACATATCTGCTGCTGAGCTATCCTGAGAAGGAGTTGCTGAACTGGAAGAACATGCAAGCTCTGCTTGGCAAGACGGGCAAAGAAGGTTTGAAGCGGCAAGTCACATCCCTAGATCCATTACGTGTGGACATGAATAAAGCTGACTATGCTTTTGACAAGTATCTGAGGGAGACTGATTTGGAGACAATCAGAGATACAAGTGCTGGGGCAGCCACATTCTATGTTTGGGTGAGTGATGGCAGACAAGGGTAGGGTAGGAGGGAAGATTTCATGGAGTCAACTTGTCTCCAACCAGTGTGACCCAACAATCCAGTTTCATGCAGGTGCAGTTAGCTGTCAGTGTTAGCTTGCCATGGGCTTGTCTCTAGTTAATAGGAAGAGTGAGATGCAGTTACAGGCTTGTAATCATTTGCCTGACTTCCATGTTTGATTCAGAGTTTGAGTAGGTGGAGAGGCTTGGGGGCAACGAGATACCTTCCCCTTCCTGGTTGCTTTCTTCTTGCCTTTTATTCACCCCCTCAAAAAATGGCTTTCTCAACAAATGTATACCTGTATTGTAGACTCTGTTGGTTCTTATCCTTTCTCCAAGGGTTCTTCCTCAAGTTTTTCATTATTCTCCCCCAAAAAGGAATACTTTGAGCTCATTTATATTCAGCCAGAAACCTGTAAATAAAGAGTACCTTAGTGTATGCATCAATGTCAAATCCTATATTTTATATGCAGTCATTTTATACACACTTAAGGATTCTCTATCAACTCTTTCTGGTTGTCGAATCAGTCCACACTTGTTAATTAAAAGTAGTTGCGTCTTTTAGCAACTGCCCATGAATCACCTTAATAAATAGATCTCTGTTGCTGTATGTTTGTTTAGTAGTAGAATGATACAGATGACATCAACATGTGGTAAACAAGTGGCACACAACGGGCATCCAAGTGTGTTACTGAAAGTTCCTAATTCATTTTTATATCTTCTGTGATAAGATCCATAGCAACATTGGGTCTGTTCTATTTGTTTTATATGTTGAAAAAAAGTGGTAAATGGTGATGTCATTTATGTGTCTGTCCTCCAATAGACCATAAGTAACAACCAATCAAAATGTGTGGTAATTCAACTTATTAAAAACTAGATCATTGGATAATGCAATTCAAGACTTTTTATTGGCTTAGCCATTATGGTATATGAGCCAATTTACCATAATCTACAAATATGGTAAGCTTACCCGTCAGCTTAAAATCAAAAGGGAACTAAAAAATCCGGTTTCTTTTCACAAAATAATAATTTCTTGAGGGCGTTTTTAATAAAACAATTATTCCACTCGCGCTTGGTGGATATGAGATGATTATAGCCAACTCGGTGCTACACGCCTCGTTGGCTATCTATCATCTCATATCCAACGAGCGCTCGTGGAATAATAGTTAATTATTAAATATTGCTTGATTTCCAATGATGCCTTTAATTTGTCTTTTAGGCAACTAACATGATAGAAGAAGTCCATTCTGTTGCTGAGCAGAAGGAGAAACTGTTGGAAGAAGAAAAGAAACGAAAAGAAGAAGAAGCTGAAGAAGCAAGGAAGATGGCAGAGAGAAAGAAGGCTCGTGAAGCTGCAAAGAGAGGTGCACCACTCACTAAAAGAACATCCCAGACACCTGCTAAAAAGAATTCAGGAACTGATCAAGGACGCAGGATGTCAAGGGATGAAACAAGGGGAAGAAGTAATTCTAGGGGCAGAGAAGGGAGTAAGGATAATTTGAGCAAGTCCCCTGCCAGACCCGGTGTGGCACGAAGGGCCAGTAGCAAGTCTCCTGCTGCTCGTAACTAATTTCATATATTCATATGTTCTTGAAATACAAATCTTTTAATGGCGCTAGTTCTTGGTTTGCTAATCATGAAAAATTTAGCTCCAGCATTTAATCTCACCATCAGCAATTTGTGTCAATTTCTGGGATTCTGAATCATCTTCCTTCCTGTTGGGTATCTTCTTACCTCCTTGTTGTTTGTCTACTGTGGTAAACAATTATCACAAGGTTTTATTCTTTTTAAGAGGCAATTCTTTGTGGTTTTCAAAATCGCTCCAAGCATATGATTCTTATAAAAACTCGCAATCACAAGACTTCCAAAGTCAACACATCTTAATATGTAACATGTATTTGGTTAATATGGAAAGGTTAAAACAGCTTGAGATAAGTCAACTAGTAAACAACCAATCATCAGCTTGAAACTTCATCTTTGGAAGTCAAGTGTTTTCTCTGCTCAATATTTATGATAAGTGAATCTGACAATTATCATTCTTAAAAGATGTTTTTTCATCTGGTCACAAGGGTGGGATTAAAAATAAAATCTGAGTTCCCTTGAAGAACGGAACCTCAGATCTCCTTATATTATATGCTCTGATGCTCTACCATTGAGCCTTGGAGACTCTACAATAAGCTGGGTTATAAGTTCATTCTAAGTATCACACAGTGAGAGCAGATATAAATAACTCTTACACCTGTGGATCTCTTTGTTAATAATGATATTAATGCTAATTGAAAGTCTGTAATGCAGGCCACAATTCAGTTATCTAAGGACTTTTTTCCCCTTTAGTTTCCCCAACACCTTATTTATTTCTGTAACCAAGATGTTCAAATACTACTTGAAGAAAGCATTGTTTGCCCACACATTTCTGGCTTGTTTAAAGAAGTCTCTATACTTTGCAATTTAGAGAGAAAATGAATTTTTGGCAACTTTTGTTGCATATTTTTGTAATACAAAATTAGAAGGCAAGAGAACTGTTTATTTGCCTTTGTACATATCAGTACTGGTCCATGTAAATGATAAATTAAGAAATAAGTTCATAAGGAATTGGTTTTTCATACTTTGATGGGTTAGTAACACATACCGGTAGAATTATTGTATTTGTTAAATAACTTATCTATTGCAGTGTAATAATACAGACATGCTCACTTATTAATGATCCTACACTTTTCTACAACAAAGGGCCATTGTTTGAAACCTTAACTTTTTAGATTTGCTTTTGTAGGTGATATATATCTTATCAGATGTTTTGTTGTGTAGTATCTTTGAGTATTTTTACTAGTTGTGCCATAATTTGATGCCCCTGTAGAGTACGTCAAAATACAAACAAGTAAAAATAATCAGCGGTACTACACAACAAAAGATCTGAAAGAGATTTATTATCTATCATGCCAAATTGTTATTTCTGTGCAGGTGAATTTCACAGGTATTTCTGGAGTAAAAATATGGCGTGACATTTGTACTCATTTCGTGCATTATTTGTACTCTACAAAGTACAGTTGGACAATAAACACCCTTTTCACTCTGACAATGTAAGCAACTATTTGCTGCTAGCAATAATTGTGGAATAATAAGTGGAATAATTCTCACAGTCATGGGAATTTTTTCACAATGCTGATGTAGAATAATTGATTTAGTATGATTTTTTAAAATAGGTGAACATCAGAGCTACTCCAATCCTTTATTTCTAATTGTTTTTGAAGGCATCAAAATTTTTTGCAGTGGCCATGTTGATATTTGGTGATCATAGCAAGATGTCAGGTGAACTTTGACCAATTAGAGTGAGCACATCTCTATGATCCCCTGGCTTTGATTGTTTGAAGGGCAAGTAACAACCAACTGGATAAACCTTTAACGGTTAAATAATGCAGAACATTTTAACATTTATCTGCTGAAAGGCGTTCTAACCATAGGTCGGCATTGTCCACTCTTTGAACAAATGGGCCCTGTAGGATTAGTTTCCAAGTTGAAAGATGACATTCATTCAAAGTGTTGTAAACATTCCTTTATTGAAAAAATGTTGACAGATTCTTGTGTTTCTTACACATTTGCCTCTCCATGATATCCAATACAGTCTAAAAGAGGAATGGGGAGGGTTTTTACGTATAGGACTGACCACAATGGACCAAAATCAACAACATCTTTGTGAATAAGTCTTTAGCATTACAGCAATTAGATTTTACATTTAATCGTTCAATCAAGATGAATATTGAATATCACTAACAAAACCTAGCTACATCACTGGTGGATAAAACATAACACTGTGCTAAAAACAAAGCTGTTTAGAACCATTTTATCAGTTCTGCATCAGTCGGTAAGACATGCGCACAGCTTGTGCAACACTGAAATATAAAAAGAGAAACCAAATAACCATTGTATACTAAAGTTGTCTATTAAAGTTAGAGGCTCAACCGAAAGACAATTTTGTTTTTGCAAACAACTTAAGATACCTCAAGGTTGCCACCAACCCAGCTGGCATGAACTTTCCAGATCTTGCAAATCTTGATCCCATCACGCCAGAGAGGACCAATGATGTCACTGAAACGACATATGGATGGAGATTTATGATACGGAGTAGGACTTATATTCTTAATTCTCAAAGTACATCTTGTCATCTGTTGGTAAGTTCTTTATTGTTTCTATCAGTGTTACAATTTCTTACCAAGCATGACCCAAACATTCCTTGGGTTTGAGGAGGTCTGGTAGGCACCAAGAGCAGAAATGCCACCAAATGCCAGCCCAGCAGCTAAAGATGGTACGCTCCCTATGAGGTAGTAGTAGTAGTAGAAACTTTATTTGAGTGTCAAAAACCATCTAGCCAGGGAACTAATCCCCTACTAATTTGGGGACACCAATTAGGGGAGAATATACAAACTGAGTAGTAGATAAAATATCTATAGTTAACTTATTAAGAGATTTATAGTAAAAACACACAGAAGTCAAAATGAACAAAGGCTACAGCCTGCGCAGCCATCATCTAAAAGTTCACTTATATTGAGTTGGCGTATCTTGCTTTTAAACGACGTTAGGGTTGTGACGTCCCTGATACTCTTGGGTAGTTTTGTCCATAGCTTAGGCCCTAAATATCTAATAAATATCAAAACTGTAATAATGCAGTTTTGATAAATTCTGCTGATGAGTCAGTCAGGTCAATGGACTGTGAATGGTTGTGGATAGCCTTGAACCAAGCTCTTTGATAAGGAGTAGGGTGAACAAATCATAAAGGACAAGCTGATAGCAATAAGCATGAGTGAGGTAATCTATTAATGAGTGGGTTCATGTGTCTACATTTTCAACAGTAAATCAATCAGTCTAACATTCTGCCACACTATACTGTAACACTGGTCAATTATAAAGAAGAGAAAACACTGTCACACAGAAACAGAAACCAGGGCCAATTTTATGGTCAAATCAATAGCACCCTTAATATTTTGTGATGCTCAAACTAAGGGAGATTTTTACTCAAACTACTAAAGTTGTGTTCTTACCTTCAATTCAGTATGCAAGTGACAAATTTAAGAGTATTTCATTTTATTGTATAACACCATGCTGAAATCACTATTTTAGACTCACTCCATTGTTTGCTGAAACTTACTTTCTATAACTGTGAAACTAACCCCACCCCTGTAGGTGCATAGGGATGGGGCGGGGGAGGGGAGGGAGTTGATTTGATGTCCGTGAGACCAAATATTGGGTACTTCAGGAACGGGATGTTATCTAGTAATAAGATCATATCACCACGTTTACTTTTTAGAGCGGTTAAAGTGTCCATAAGGCGAATAAAATAAAAGGTAGCACCTTTTCCTGCAGACTTGGCGATCGGGTCAGCTTAACTTTAAATTTTCCTGTAAGCCACAGTTCAATGATCTTTTAAGTTGCAGATAAATTGAAATGCTGTTCTTTGAACCAATAGTTACATATTTCAAGGACTACATCAATTTTTTTCAAAAATTTCTCTTCATCTTGCTTTAAGTCAAGTTTTGCAAGAAATTTCTCATTCACACAGCTATGCCTATTTGAATATAATTCACGAACCAGTTAATATGGACCTTGTGTGAATGAGCTGATCATGAGTCAGCGCTGACATAATAAGTACATGTGTACACGCTCTTAGGAGCTTTTCGGGCCATAAATATTGAAATCCCTTACTCTTGTCAGATAAAAAAATGACATAACTATCACTTACCGGCTTTAACGTATCCTATAACGCCACCAAGGGCAACGATTACGGAAAATCCGTACGATAAATAGTCGGGAGACGCCATTTTGCCCGAGGACTGCATTGTTACCGTGAGTGCACTGGGTACGAGTTTTTACGAGGAGTATCACATCGACCTGGGGCTTACCTTGAAGTATTCCTTCGAGGAATGGATGAATCGTGTAAAATTAAGATCTTAGGCTTTTTAGTTGAATGAAGATATTTAAAAACGATTTAAAGCAAAGAAATAAATCTGTAATTTCCCGCGAAAAGTTTATTTCCTCTGAATTATGAGCCCTATACACAGCTAGTCAGCGGATTACCTAATTCGTACAAGGAGGGAAGTGAAATTTGAATGATGGAGGGGCGAGAAACTTGTTTCAATGTTTGGTATTTTAAGGCATTCTTAGACGACTAAATGGCCAGATCTGCCCTTAGCACGGACGTTGAGTTCCACATCCTTCATAATTATCCCTGGTCAAAGCTTCCAACCAATGTAAAGCAGGTAAAAACTTGTATGTTTTCTACCCCTGGAACGGACCTTAGTGCTCTGTATTTACCAGAATTAAAGGCGCTCTTTTCTTCCGCCTAATACTATTTTTCGGAAGATAGCCAATCCTTGAGAAGAAAGATTATTAGTTTCTTTAATATTTTTATTCCTCAGTCGCTGGGTAACAGCCAGAAAGAGTGGGAAAAATGTGTCTTCGACTACAGTGTGCGGAATCAATTGAGATATCGTGGAAATATAGGTAGGTGCTTAATCATAATCTTAAACAAGAAGGTGTAGAGTAATATCGATTATAATTTGTCGCCTTCCTCCATGTGGTGAAAAAGTAAAGAAAGTAATTGGAATCAATACTATTGAGTTTATACGAAAATTATGCGGAAATATTACATGATACCCGTTATCTTAAGTGTTATGAACACGTGAAGCGGTAAGAGTGATTCATCATTCAGATGTTATGTTGATGTAGGCTATAAATCGTGAATTATTTAAGTCGTGAATGATCTGGTTAACAGATAACTCGTTATTGAAATTGAATCTGACAATTTTTCAAAGTAACTATGAGGGTTTGACGAGTGAAATATTCTTGGAAAGATGAGGGTTATCTCATTATTCTCATGAAGTTTCTTTCTGTCTGCTACTCTTTGGAGGTCACACTCAATGTCTCCAAGAAAAGGCTGTGACTAACACCAGCTGTTAGACGTTATGTTTAACTTTCTTAGCCTCTCAACACAATACAATACAATACAATACTTTATTTCAGAACAACATGCAAATACATAATTATTAAGAAAAAGGAAACCCAGAGGTTGGCCCTATATCAAGGGTCTCCTATTTATGTAAAAAATCTTACAGAACTAGTTAATAAAAATATAAAAAAGTCAAATAAGAAACAGCTAAATATCAATTATAAAATGGCGATTCAATAAATATTCATATGTTTCTTCAATTTTGATTTAAACTCACNTCTTCTTTGGCCTAAGGCAATTCGCGAGGCTCTTCTTTGTATCTTCTCAATTTCATCGATGTCTTTGATGAGGTGTGGTGACCACACCGGGCAGGCGTATTCCAAGATTGGACGAACCAAGGTTTTGTACAAGTTTGAAAAAATATCTTTGTTTTTACCGCCTACTGTGCGTTTAAGTAAGCCAAGAACCTTATTTGCTTTGTGAACTATTTGTTCAACATGTTTTGACCATTTCAGATCACTAGTCATAATAACTCCAAGATCTTTGTAATTAGATACATTCCTCAACACTGTACTCGATATATTGTACCATGTGGACTTTTTGTCTTTGTTATGTGTAATTCTCATGACTTCACATTTGGTAGAATTAAATTTCATCTGCCAACGATCCGCCCATAGGTTGAGGGTGGTCAGATCTATCTGTAAATAATTAGAATCATGGATATTATTATCTGTGGTAGATTTTGGTATTGTCCGCAAATAATTTGGCAGTAGACGTGATGATGCCAGGTATTTCGTTCACATAAATAAAGAACATAACCGGTCCCAGTACTGAGCCTTGAGGGACACCAGATGTAACTGGTGACCAATCCGAGTACGATCCACGTACCATAACTCTTTGTTTTTGATTGGTTAAGAAGTTCTTGAACCACAGGTGCAGCTGCCCGTCTATTCCGTACCTATTGAGTTTTAAAAGTAGGCGCTCATGAGGGACACTGTCGAACGCTTTTGACAGGTCCAGAAATATTACATCAGACACTTTAGACGAATTTCTTGTTAAGCACCAGTCATTATAACAGCTTAAAAGTTGTGACACTGTCGATCAGCCTTCGAGGTATCCAAATTGGCTTGGGTTTAGTAGTTGGTGTTCCGTCCAAAATGAGACAACTCTCGATTTCACAATCTTCTCTGCCGCTATACTGATGATAGATGTTAGGAAGACCTGGCGATAGTTTTCCTTTTTATATTTTGGTCCCTTTTTATAAATTGGAATAACGTGTGCAATGTTCCAGTCGTTGGGTAGTGAGCCGGATTGGAATGACTTGTTAAATAAGTTACAAAGTGACGTAGATAGTTCCAATGCACATTCTTTTAGGATACGAGGCAATAATTTATCAGGACCTGGGGACTTGTGTATGTTTAGGTTTTTCAGATGTAGATATTGCACAAATTTTCTCTCAGAAACAAGGCTGGGAACACTTATTTGACTGTATACATATTATAATTTTTTCCCTTTTATAAAACATGCTTTCAGTCAGGATTCACTTGTCCATGTTAAGCCCTGAGATATCTCTTTTGTTTAAAGATGTACCAGAGAGATGAGCCTCCCACAGGCACACCATGCAACAAAGAGAAGGGGGGTCATCTCTTGCAAGACCTTGCTTCCTTGTTCGAAGTAATGATACAATGTTTTGACTGTGCTGTTTTATTTCCAGTACGACAAGTCAGAAGAGATGAGAGAAAGTATTATGAAGATTTACTACAGTACAGCAAACAACATCTCATGGTAAGCATGCTATTAGCCTTTTTGACAAAAATCAATTTTTAAACCTTATAATTATGCATTTTAGAAGAAATTTTGTTAGTAGTATAGCTGAGTATTTTTTTTTTTCAAGTTGTGCCATATTTTGATGAGCCATGTGGATGAGTCAGAATACCAACAGTGCTTTAACTATAATAATTTGAGTGAGCATAATGAAAATTGATTAAAACCTGTTTTTGAACTGCAGTGATTTAATTCAGAGATGCATTGGAAAACTTATCGTTGTCTGATTTATTTGATATACTATCTATGAGTCAGACACTTCCAGAGCATTGTTTGATATAACAACTAAAAATTAATGCATAATAAAAATCAGTGCTAAGTTTTTCAAAGGACAATTAAGGCTCATCCAGATTTGATTGTCATGAAAGCAAATAAGTTTTGTGTGCAACCAAACCTTGCTAAGTGTCATTAGGGACCTTAAGCAACCACAACGGTGACAGCAACGAGGACATGGAAAAACAAGAGATCTAATTGGCAGAACAATAGCTCAGCACGTGCATTTTGAAACTTTGTACATTTCTTAGCCCTCCTTTGCAAAACAACAAGGTGAAATCGCGAAAATTTGCTTCATCTGGGAACCAAAACGGCGATGGCAAATGATTTTAATTTACATTTGGAACTCAACACTGCTTTTATACGTCATGCTGAAGTTAAGCTGTGGCATCGTCTGAGACAGTAAGCTCATGCAGCCATTTTTAAAATTCTAGCTAAGTGTAGAAATTCATTTTTTAATCGAAGTCTTCCTTGACGTTGCTGTCCTGAATGCTTTAGGTCCCTATTGAAGGTTTGACAACCTTGCCCTGTGTATCTCTTCCTCTTGTGGTTTAACTGATGATTCATACATAACTTGTTGCTGTTTATTTTCTAGCTGTTTCCTTACCACCTGTCAGATGTGATAGTGAAAGGTTTGAGGATCACTCCATTTTCTTACTACTGCAGCATTATGGAGTACATCATGTCAAATGAAAGGAGTTATGACTCATTACCAAACTTCACTGCAGCAGATTGTAAGTTAAAAGCTATCCAGGATTAAAATTGTTTAAGTTTATGTTGTAAGCATTGGGGAGTGCCTAGTCAACACTTGTGGTTATTGTTACCGACAATTTCATGTTCAAATTGATATGATAAACAGGAAAGCAAATGTGAACCTTCTAGCTGGTTTATTTTTGATGTAACGGTAATCTGAGATTACAGCAGCTCACATGCATGCATGTTCAGTCCAAAGGTTAATCTCAATCCTGTAAAACAACAGTAACAACATGAAAGTGTCACACTAAAGTGTCACAAATCACTCTTGAGCTGAATATGCTGGATGTGTTCAGTACACCAATCTTTACTGATTTTTCTGTTGAATAGAAAGAACAAACTGAAGTGGTTTCTTGCTGGCTGAGTTTGTGAAAGAGGCAAGCACGTATACTAACTAACTAACCAGGTTGTTTATATTCTTGCCATACAAAACAACATCTTACCCTCCCACAATGCAGTCATAAATAAAGTGCCGTTGCATTATTTGTGTTAGTGGCAGACAAATGACATTATTTGTGTGAGTACAGATTTTGTCATAAATATAGTCAGGGTTTTGAGTAAAGCTCGGCAATCATTCCCCAACTAAAACCTCTCATAACAGCTCCCTCCTCCTAGGTTTAGAAGAAATGTGGAGATTAACTGTATTAAATTATGAACTGTAATTTTTACCTGTTTTGATAACTGATGTTTTTTTTTTTTTCAGGTTTACGATTGTTGGCAATTGGTAGAAATCAATATATTGAGTTGATGAATCAGTGTCGGTCATCTAAGGTATTAAAATTTCTTCACTCCTTCCTGTGCATGTCTTGCCCACCGCTTGTTTGTTGTATTCAAAATGTTGACAAATTCTCAAGCAATAACATAATCGGAATATGAAAAAGACAATATTGAAAGTTATTGGATGTGAATGATGATTATTTTTTACAGACTATTTTCTGTAAGATATACATGTTCAGGATTGGCTCTAGAAGTCCACTGCAGTCCCTCTTCTACTTTTCTGAAACCCTTTTTTTCCTCAATTTGCACTTTACTAAATCCAACCAATCCAATGACAACAGCCATTCAGGATATTTAGCACTCGCTTGCCATAAGATACACCTACTACACAGGCTCTGTTGTCTGTCATGTTCCTTTCTGAGTCACTGTGTAAAATCATTTTCAGAAATTCTTTAGAAAGAAGCCCGTAAGGGATCTTCTGCCAACTAAACCTGCAGTGTTGAAGGTTCTAGAACCCTGGTGGATTGTTCAGATTGGTTATGTGACAGAAGATGACATAAGGGTAAGAAGGAAAAGAAAACTTTTGATATTAATTATACATTACAAAGAGTGATCTCCTGGAGAATTGCCAGTAGTTCTTAATTTTTACTGGCATTGAACTGAGTTAAATTTCAAAAATAAGACTCCTTCAAAAACAGCAGAAAATTCCTGTTAGCGAGTAGCTTTTACTGCTGTAGGTGCTTCTTAAGATCTTAAAAAAAAATGAACAGGAGATGTTTGGCTTATTTCCCTTTTATCTCTGTTAACATAGTCAGTGGATTACATTTTTGTAACTTCAGGTAATCAGTTTGGTTGGGAAAATTTTTATGACACTGTTAAAATAAATTTTTCATCAAATTGCTGATGTGCTGTAATTTCTTTGCAGATGTGTTCAAATGCTGAACACCAGGCTATTGATTCCATAATTGATAAAGGAGCTTCTCAAGCTGGGATGATGGACCTCAAAGTTGCACAAGGTAAAAGAATGATCATTATCTTGTTTTCATGTCACCTGCTGTTTATCATGTTACTTGTTGACTGTAGTGTACTAGCTTTTATTAGGAGACAAGGTTGACTTGCTTTGCAACTTTTTACAAAGAAGAATAGTCTGTTCTAACTGGTTGGTTTTCAGTAACTGCGATTGGTGCGTTTTTGATCTTTTGCATTTGTGATATGTGATATGTGATATGTGATATGTGATATGTAGACTTTATTTCAAGAGGGTAGCACGTGACAGTAGTTAAACTGATGATCCTGTGGCCCTCTACATATGTACCCACCCATCCCACCCCAGAGGAGGACGTCCATCACACAGTAATCTCGTGCATGGGAAATTAACATCTCCTACCCCTAACCCTGCAGGAGACGGGACCTCCATTTATTCATCCCTATC